GGCGATAGCAACTGTTGCTGCTGTTTTGAGCCTTATCGCAGCACTATGCATGCCGGTACTGAGCTTCTTTGAGCATTCTTGCTCACCACGACCTTCCATCTTGCTCAATACATTCTTGATCTCAACTATTCTCTTGGATGCTGCGCAAGTACGGTCGCTATGGCTATCCGCCGTCACCTTCCGCGAAGTCACCATAGCGCGAATATTCACTGCTGCCGCCGCCTGGAAGATTGTCTTGGTTGTGTTGGAGTCTTGGCAAAAGCTGCCGTGGATTCCCTGGGACCGCAAAGATCACAGTCCAGAGGAAACAAGCGGCGTATTCGGATTAGCAACCTTCTCATGGCTCAATCCGCTATTCATATGTGGTTATAAGAGAGTCTTGACTGTACCGGATCTCTTTCCTCTCGACAAGAGTTTGTCAGTGAAGACTCTCCAGGACACTACCAGAAGAATAGAGCCCCAGCGTTTTCAGGGGCAGAGCCATGGCCTTGCCAGAGCGCTCGGGAAACGCCTGTTCGGTCCTTTATTACTGCCAGTTGCTCCCAGGATTATGCTCCTTGGCCTTGTGTTCTGTCAGCCATTTCTCTTGGAGGCTCTTCTGAACTTCCTTGAGGATCCGAAAACCAGTCAATACGCCAATAGAGGTTACGGGTTGATAGGCGCTACAATTATCGTCTACATGGGCATTCCGATCGCTAATGCTTTATATTGGTATTTCCAGGAACGGCTATTATGTGCAATACGCGCCTATTTGGCTGCAGCAATTTACAGGAAGACCCTTCAGGCCAAAATTTCAACTGCGGATAACTCGGCTGCCTTGACATTGATGAGCGCGGATATTGAGCGAGTCCGTATGGGGCTTATGGAATTCCACGAGTTTTGGGCCAATCCGATACAAGCCGGTCTGGCCTGTTGGCTGCTCGAAAAGAAACTCGGCGCCTCGTTCGCCGTACCCATCGTTCTCATTATGCTGTGCATTGCCAGCTCTGCGATTCTTATGCGATATATCGGGCCACGGCAAATGGCTTGGATGGAGAGGATCCAAAAGCGCATCAGTCATACGGCGAACGTCTTTGGTAACATGAAGTCCCTGAAAATATCAGGATTGGAAATTCCCTTTGAAGACACCATCAATTCGCTACGGCTGGACGAACTCAAGGTCGGAGGCAGATTCCGGTGGTTCCTGGTCATCTCGGTGGGCATCGGATTCACACCTGTTCTGTTGGCTCCTGTTTTCACCTTGGCTTTCACAGCCCGGGATCTCGACGTCACGACCATCTTCACCTCCATTTCGTATTTACTCCTGCTATCAGAACCGCTTTCGTCCCTCTTCCAGCTGGTTCCTCAGTTGATTGCCGCTTTTACATGCCTGCAAAGGGTGCAGTCTTTTCTACAGGAAGAATCGCGGCACGATTTTCGAGACCACGAGGTTCTCATTGATCCTAAGGTTTCGAGTTCGCACAGCGCAGCATCACCAGTTGCTAAAATAATCAACGGAAGTTTTGGCTGGACCGAGGATTCTTTCGTCCTGAAAAATATCAACGTCGTGATTCCTCCCGGTCTGACCATGGTGATCGGCCCAGTTGCTTCTGGCAAATCCATGTTCTGCAAAGCTTTACTCGGCGAAATCCCCTTTGTGGAAGGCCAGACTGTTATGAACATCAACTGCCGCAATGTTGGGTACTGCGAACAAGTTCCGTTTCTATGGAACGCATCTATAAGGGACAACATAGTTGGTTTCTTCACGGCCGTGGATGAGTTGAGATACGCAGCCGCCATTGAGGCCACTATGCTTTCCCAAGACTTCCGTCAGCTTGCCCAGGGCGACCTAACCGTGGTCGGCAGCAATGGAATCAGTCTGAGTGGAGGACAGAAACAGAGAGTGTCTATTGCGAGAGCTCTATATAGGCACTGCGACCTCCTCGTTTTCGATGACGTCTTAAGCGCTCTTGATGCAGATACACAGGAGCACGTCTTCCGCCGTGTATTCGGTCCCAACGGGATGCTGAAAAAGAGAACTGCGAACGCTGTTCTCTGTACCAACTTTTCGCAGCATCTCCAGGCAGCTGACTATGTCATCGCACTGGCCGCCAACGGCACTATTGCAGAAAAGGGTAGCTTTGATCATGTCATTGCCAGCGGACAAGAAGCCATTCAGACTTTAGTAGTGTCAACTGATGCGAACAATGGATTGGATACGGAGAAATCAACGACATCAGCATCAATCACAGATGTTGATATTCCAACACCTTCCAACCGAGATACATCATCTGAAGACCAACGGGATACCAAGAATGGTGCACGCGTTATGGGCGATGCGTCGGTGTTTCGGTTTTACTGCCGGAAAATCGGAACAGTTCCGATGCTCGCATTCGCTGGTTTCGGCATTATGTTTGGCTTTACTTACAATTGCCCGACTATTTGGCTTAAGTTTTGGGGCGAGGATGCGGTCTCAACGAACCCGGCACATTCGACATCGTTCTACGTTGGCCATTACGCCCTATTCCAGTGCCTAGCACTGGGTTCTCTCATTACGGAGGCGATTCTCGGCTTACTCGTCATCATTAGGCTTTCCGGAGCGAACTTGCACAAAGACACCCTCCGAGCCGTGTTTGCCGCGCCCCTGCGTTACTTTACGGCGACAGATACAGGGGTACTGACGAACTTATTTTCTCAAGACATGACTCTCATAGACGGAGAGCTTCCGCAGGCCCTCACCAATACATCGCTCCAAGTATGGGTTGGACTGGGATCAGCTGCTGTCATTGCGACCTCGTCTCCCTTTGTGATGATCTCGTATCCCTTCATTGCGGCAATCATCTATGGCATTCAGAGGTTCTACCTGCGTACTTCTCGTCAGCTGCGTCTGTTGGATTTGGAGGCAAAAGCTCCTCTCTAGTGAGTCTCAACTCCATCGCTAATGGGTTCGACTCTTTGCTTATCTGTCTCAGCACCAATTTCATTGACACCATTAGAGGTTTGGTCACCTTTCGTGCCTTTGGTTGGACGGATGAAGCCACTCGTCTTAACAGCTCGCTCGTGGACACTTCGCAAAGGCCCGAATATCTCTTAAGTATGGTACAGCGCTGGTTGTCATTTGTCCTGGGTACTGTGGTCGCCTTGATAGCTGTGCTTGTGGTGACCCTTTCCACACAAATGCGCTCTAACGCAGGCTTTGCCGGCGCTAGTATGGTGTCTATCATGTCGTTTGGGAGAACACTGGCGAACCTTGTTGAGAAGTATACGCTATTGGAGACCTCTATTGGTGCTGTGGTGAGGCTCAGATCGTTTTTCGAAAACACCCCTCGTGAGAAATTGGCAGGAGAGGTCGTTTTTCCGCCTGCTTCGTGGCCGGAAAAGGCATTGGTCGAAATCAGAGGAGTATCTGCGTCTTACACGTAAGTATAGGCCTGATCAAGACAAAGTTGATTCTATGAGAATTTGCTGACCGACTTTGAGATACCATCACGACTTGACTTTGAATGAGAATAGATTGGACACAGCTTCAGACTACGCCAATCTCGCTCTTCAGAACCTCACGCTTACCATTGAGCCGGGTCAAAAGGTGGCAGTTTGCGGACGTACCGGCAGGTGAGCACTGCCCTCAAAACATGATTCATAGTTATTCACTTACACCATGAACAGTGGAAAATCATCACTCGTCCTACTTCTTCTACGGCTCCTGGACCCTCTTTCATCCTGTTTAGGTGATATTTCCATTGATGGTCTCTCCCTCTACACCATCGACCGAGCCACCTTACGCCAACGTGTGATTGCGGTTCCCCAAGACCCAGTGTTTTTTCCAGATGGCGTGTCTTTCAGAATAAACCTCGACCCCTTTACAATTGCGACCGATGAAGAGTGCCAAGCGGTGCTGGAAACTGTGCGGCTCTGGGGGTTGGTCAGTGACCAAGGCGGGCTCGGGGGCTCGATGAACGCGGACGCTCTTAGTATTGGACAGAAACAACTTTTCAGCCTGGCGAGGGCGGTCTTGCGGAAGCGCGTGCGCATGCGTGAATTCTTAGCAAATGCGGAGTATGTGGATACTGCTCGATCCCTAGTTGGCAAAGATGACATAGAACTGCAGCCGACATCTGACACTCTTCAAGAAAGCAACTTTGGCGGGCTGCTTATCTTGGATGAGTTCAGCAGCAGCGTCGACGTGGAGACGGAAAAGCAAATGCAGCAGGTTCTATGGAGCGAGTTCAAAGGCTATTCTATCTTGATGATAAGCCACCGACTCGACATGGTAATGAACTTCGACAGAGTTGTGGTGCTCGACTCTGGAAAGGTGGTTGAGCAGGGAATTCCCCAAGAGCTGGTTCAGAAAGAGGGCAGCTGGTTCAAACACCTATGGACAATCGGTAGAGAGCGGTGAGAAATGATACGCAGGGCATTGAGTAAGAGGCTCGCAGAAACCAGATTGTCACTAAGTTGAGGGATATCTTCTGGGGATTTATCATGATTATTAGAGTGAAGTTCACAAAATGGAAAGGTCTAAGGCTGTTCGGCAGATGCAATTAGAGCCCAGAACGTAGTTGACAAATGATTGTAATACCCGGCTGTGACCATTCCACGAATATCAACATTTTCAACTATCAATATGCGCGAATCTAAGAACTGCACTAACACTTAATTTTTGCATGCCCTATCCTAGTGGTGTCTTATGGAGAAATTCAGCGCGAAGTCAGAAATCAAAATGCCAGGCTCAAGACGGCATGATCCATAGATGCGAACCTAGCGAAACGTAACGATACACGAATAGCAAGCCCTCTTAAGCCAAAGTTTTAAATTGAAATATTGATTATGTTCTGCTCACTCGAGTGGCCAGATAGATAGGTACAGACATATATTATATTCAACTATCTTAGATATGCGTCTCTCGAACTTTCATGTCGCATCGTTCAACTCATCCTCAACGCATTGTAACGAATGACAGGGGCACTGCATCCCTTGAAACTCGGGCTATGATAGTCTCAGACGCACCAACTGTAAAAGTTCTATCTAACGGTCCAGTTTTCATCAATCCAGTCTGAAATCTTATCAAAATTGCGACACTTGTGGTGCGTGTTGAAGTCCGCACGCGCACCCGCCGGTCCGCCTATGCGAACCATGAGGGGGGTGACGTCGGCGAAGCACATGAGTGAGATGCGCAGGGCTTCCAGGCAGTGATCAACATGTATGCGGTTCTTTAGGGGGTCGTTCGACAGCCCAACTGGGATCTTGTCATACTTGCCCACCTGCCACCAGGTATACACCCGTATCATGTTCTATGCAGAAGGCGAGCGTATCAGCAAACCTATTTCGGCGGGATTCGGGGAGCGAAACTGGTCATGTGGGCTTACCAGGCAATGGAGTTGATGGAAGACCTCAAGCAGTGCGACATAACCGTCGCCTACATCTTCAGGCACATGCTTCAGGTGATCTTCTTCAGATCGGTTCAGACCTGCAAGCCTTTCAGGCGGGATTTCGACCGCATGCTCTGGTTTTTGGTCAGCTGGCGAAGGCTGGTGTGTGGTCGAGACGTAATAGCAAACTTACTATACGTGAGGTCAAACCAGGCTTGCTCTCTCTCTGGAGTTGGAAGCCCACGATAAATGCTTGTTGAGTTAAAGGCGTCATTGAAATCCATTTGGACATATTCAACGGCCTCAAGTGCAGGAGCTGTATGAGTTAGAACGCGTCTGTGTTTTGTCTTACTGCCCAGCTTCGCCAGGAGGGTTGAAGGGCAAGACTTACACCACATAGACAGTTGACGAGCACAATCCTGATCAGTCGGAGCTCGCAAGAAAGAAAATACGAAACCGAAAGCCATGCTGAGAACCAGTATACTTAGAGGAATGAGGGAGCTCTCAAGTAAACCAGTAATCCGTGACGGAGCTCGTTGGTTCCATTCTATCCAGCGGAAGCGCTGCGCAATACTCTTCTCGCCGGCGTGGCAGTCGCCAAAGTCTTCAACAGACTCAGAGTCACGACTGTCGGCCGACATGAGAGGCTTGTAAGATGGGCTCTTGACTGCCATTGTGGACAGCATTGTGGTTGGGCTGGGTGCGAGGGCGAATTCAGAATGAAGAAGGCTCAGACAAGTAGGAGACCAGGTGCCTAACGCGTAGCCTGGTGATAGCGGAAAAAAGGAGTCTCTGAATGATATATGATCGTATTTCCGCAGATCGCTTGCTCGGGTGAATACGAATGCTTCCCTTACTCAAGTAATTAGAGTCTAGCCGACGGAGCAGCGGAGGATGCGAGAGCTTTAATTTTCTAGAGGTCAATTTTGGTGCGGTAAAATACTTTAACTTCCTCTATACTGAGAGAGTTCCAAGAAGGTCAAGAAATCCCTTCTAGAATCGACTGATCCCATCGTCAGAAGAACATCGTGCATATGGATCAGTCTAGCGAAGTCTTTTAGCTAGCTCGTTTCATCGTGTTAATGGACCTTGTTGAAGGGTTAGTACTGTGAAGCGGAATTGGCGGAGTTATTGCTTCCTATGTTGTTGGCAAATAGGAAACGGCATTATTGAGGCTGGGTTATGATGCTTGCCAACATTCCTCATCAGGAAAAGGCCAAAACTAAGATCGCTAAGGGTTGCAAGCAGTATTTGACGGAGATACAAAGAAGGTACAAGTCGTAATGTTGCCTAGGATATGTTGCGAATGGAAGTTGAAGGCATACGGACGGAAACTTTCGTGTAACTAGCGTGAGGAGGTTTCGCGGAGATAACGCCGGGGTCGGGCTTCCTTCTAAGATGAGAAGTCAGTCAACGCGAACCAGTTCCCATCAACGAGCGGATACGCATCCAAGAGACACTTGGGGCACTCCCTGATTTGGCTTTGATGATGCATCTATTGAATGAGTCGGATCAAGCGCGCACCCGAAGTTAATATATTACTAAGTACCCATCTATTGAATGAGTCAGTGGAACTGTTGGGGTAAGGTTAGCCGCTAGTGCATTTTGACAACGTATTCCTATAGACCCTTAGAACAAACGGATAGACTCATGTTCGAGCCGAAGTGCTGAGTCGTGCGATGATGTTGAATGCAATGGAGGCATAGTGTGAAGCCGCGATGTGTAGAGCGAGAGGTCGACTGGAGAGAGGAGTTATGCAAGAGGCACATCACATTCCCGAGGTGAAAAGTCCCGAAGGCTCAGACGTACGCAGACGAATTGCTTCCTTCTAGGTTGGCCTCATATGTTGTCATTTGAATATAAGTATAGAGACTTCCCGCCCTTTAATTACTTCTTGGTCTCTCATCATCAAAGCCTCGACGATCAACATAACACAACAATAACACATTCTTCTCAAGTCCTGACTTGGATACTATCCCCTTTTAAGAATCAAAATGAAGTCTGCCATTCTTGCCATTATTGTCACCCTCGCGGCTTCCGTCGCCGCCTCGCCCATCTCTGAGCGCGCCATTGGCAGTATCACCGTGAAGCGCTCTACCCTCATGAACACCCCCTCCAAGCGCGATAAGGCTGCTGATAAGGTCACCGAGGAGAACATTTCGGACAGCGTCAACTACATCCTTAAGTTGTTCATTGACGGAGACAAGCACCCCGACGCCTACCAGGATGAGATCGACGCTGCTGATCCCAAGCAAGTCCTCGGATAGGGGATTCCATAAGAATCAAAACCACAGTCTCTGCGGTAAGTTTCTGAACATATCTGTTGCAGTTTCACAGCACCACTTGGTACCTATTACTAATTTGTTCATTGCATCACTAGGCGAGATGTCTTATTTTCAGGTGGAATCTACTCCGCAGACCAGAATGACTGCGTTGGACACTGGCGGCTCTGAGCGGCGGACCCGCGATATGGATGTACTGTACTCTACCCATTGTAAATGGTGGCAATCTCATGTTTGTTAGTCACGTAGTCCTGGTGTGGGGATTAACATAACCAACTGAGACCAACGGATTACACCGCACAGAGCTATGGACAATACGCCTTGGTCGAATGATATTGAACATGCTAACTAGTTAACTACCAAGTTAAGTCGTTGACATCTTGTAATGCTTACCTCCTTACATTTGTATTATGCATTATCGTAGAAGTGTGAGGTCTAGCCACCTGCAGCCTGTACCAGGCGTGTTGTTAGGGATCATGCCTGCAGCCTGCAGTAGTTCGTCTTGTAGTTGCCAATAAGGAAGACGAACCGTTCTGTTAAAGTCACGGACCAAGGACAGCCATTTGTGTGGGCCGTGCCCTTCAGTCTAGCGTTATCTGCAATGTCAGTAATACACGATAGCATTCTGAGGTATCGCATCTGGAAAGATGGCTCTGTGAGCCAGATTGCTTAGGGGTAAATGCCTCTTACTTGGAATAGTTATCCGCGTTGTGGGGATGAGGCCATCATAACCGCAGTGTTTGTGTGAGATACCTTACATGACAGAGTTTTTAAGTTCTAAAGAAAAGGTCGTCAGGGTCGAAGAAGAAAACAATTAAGTATCTAAGCATGGTTTTATCCGCCTCGTAGCGCCGGAAGCCTCACCAAGAGCAACAGTCCCAGTGCAGCAACGCAAAAGCAAGCGCAACCTAGATATGGCAATCCGATCCAGAAGCCGCCAAGTTCCATGCCAAAACTGAAGAGACCAGCAAGCACAGGCTGTGCAAATATCATCCCGGCCGTCTCGACCAGCGACATTATTGAATAAAGCTGCGTCCTGTGCGCGCTGTCCACGTATAACGCACAAAGACTGCGCGCATAGCTGCCCCAGCCTGAAGCAAGTGACAAGAGCGCGAGCCCGCCGGTAAAGGCGTTCAAAGTCGGCGAAACAGCCATACATAGGCTGCCAAGTAAGAACATGGCGCAAGATGCCCGGGCGAGAAAGAGATCGCGCTTGTTGCTGTCAGTAAAGCGCATGATCTTTGGTGCCCGGGGTGAGACGAGAAACTTTGAAAAGTTTGGTAAGACGGCGGTAATGACGAGGAAGACACTGAAGCCATAAAAGAATGAGAGAAACCCCGTTTGAGACGTTGGAATCTGGTAGCGTCTAGAGGCGAAGATGATCATAAACTGGAAGATAGACAGCGTAATGGGGAATAAGGCAAGCATTGCCAATATGAGGATGACCAGAGACGGCATCATAAAAAGGCTTGAGATTTTCCTCAAGTGGTGAGATAGGCGCTGAAAAACGTTGCTGGTGGGCCAATCCGCAAAGATATCTCTCGGAGCCTTGGCAGCCGGTCGTGTCTCCGGGATGAGGCGGATGGCGTAACCAACAGTTGCGAAACCAAACAGCGACAACCACATGACTGGCCACGGCCCTGTCTTGTCCATTATCCACCCGGCGATCAAAGGGGAGCCGAGGTTTCCAATCATGGATGACAGATGGGCGGTCATAAACTTTTTAGCTCTGTGAGCATGGTGAGCAGAAGCCATCACGAAACGGGGCATATCATACTAACCTATTTTCAGGAGTGGTGATATCGGTGAGCATTGAGAATATCACAGCAGACACAACAGGATTGCCTCCGCCGATAACCAGTAGCGACGAGCCAACCCACATCGTATTGAGTGGAATTGCCGGGGTAAACGCGCAAACCGCAAGGAACCATAGCTGATCGAGCATCGTACCCAGCACAGCTAACCGGAAAACTATCTTCCTCCCTACTCGGTCTGCAACAATGCCCCAGGGTAATGCAGCCACCGCAGCTATGGCGGCCTGGAGAGAGCCGTAGATGGCGAATACCATAGCGACCTTGCTTTGAATGGAATCCTCCTTGCACTGGTTCTCGCCGATAGGCTTCAGCACGCCATAGTGCTGCCGGCATACGATATCCTCGACTTGGCGGGTGGCGGGAATGGTCCACAACCCGGCTGAGCTAGCGAAGAGGAGGATGACGGCGTACAAGACGGTACCAGCGCTATCAACTCTATGACTTTTGGGCTCATGGACGGTGGCAGTGATATTAGTGGATATGTCGACATCACTGCGGTGAGCTGCGGCTTTCTGAGGCTGGACCAGTGGTTGAATGTCATCGCAGAGTAATGGACTTGATTCTGAGATTGTGTATGAGTTTTCCGATACTAGACACGGCTTCGTGTCATCGTCACTAGCTGAAGGGCTTGCGTGAGGAGACATCTGGCTGCGTGCAGTGTGCTGCATTGTCGTCTAATTCGCCGCGGTGTAATTGCGTACTTTGGTCCAAAGAATATGGAAACGCACCCGGGATAGAAAAAGAATTGGGCGTGTGCAAGACTGTGCGGATTGCTAGAATACATACATGACTCAAACGATATCTTTGAGGGGTAAATAGGAAAGCCGGCCGGCACTTTTTGGTCATAGCTTGGTTCCGACGAGAAGAATTACTTTTCTATGGCAGAACCCAAGAGACAGAACGGCCCAATTTGTCCGACTCCTTGGCAAGTAGCCTGAGCTTATTCTTACACTGCATACGAATGGAATATTGATATAGAGTAGTTAGGAAAGAACCGGGAACCACAAAGGAGCTTATATGCCTGACTGGATAATGCCCGAAAGTTCCCAGGAATATTATTGGAAGATGGTCGCAGACGCTCAGGTTCGTTACTTACAAGCGCCATCCCATCATCCTTGAGGGAGCCTTTCTGGATGGCGCTTCGGCACCCGAACAAAGTTCTAACGATCTTTCGCCGGCTCTTGAGGCTTCGCATTATCTTTGATCGGGGTAAAATCCACGCAAACTGCCTCTTGCTCAGCTTTTCAACCCTTCTTATCGAGAGAATATACTGTGTTCTTGTATAGCTGTCTATAGTGGAACGTCCCAAGTTACTTCCAGTACCATGGCGAGACACATCTGGGGGCTCGTTTTGAGTGCACTTTTCATAGCAGCGGTGGTTTTTGCGGCAGATGAACAGAAAAAAACGTACATCGTTCACATGGAGCAGGCAGAGAGTATGAGTGGCGCGCGTCGGAGGTCCTTGCAACAAGCCTCTCTCGACGCCATTGATGCGGACCCTGCCTCCGTTCTCTACACCTACTCCAGTGCCATGAATGGATACGCTGCTCAGCTCACCGAAGCACAAGCCGAAGCGTTACGCGCCTACGGAGGTGTGTTATCGGTGAGGCCTGAAAGGATGCTTCAACTCCACACCACCAGGACCCCTCAGTTTCTCGGCCTCGTCAGCAACGAAGACATAAACGGGCAGTCCTTTTTAAGCCAGAGTGCCTATCTTGAGGATAGAAATGAAACAGACGACAAAGAAGCCGAGTCGAATATTATCATCGGCCTGCTTGATACTGGAGCTTGGCCCGAGAACCCAGGTTACAGCGACGAGGGGATGGGCCCCATTCCGGAGAAATGGAGGGGACGGTGTGAGGAGGGGGAACAGTGGACATTTAAAAACTGTAATAAGAAGCTGATCGGAGCGCGATTCTATTACAAGGGATATACTGCCGCGAGGTCAAATGCGACTAACCTATTCAACTGGACCGGAGAGTATAAATCCCCCAGGGATAACATCGGCCACGGCACGCATACTTCCACGACCGCGGCCGGTTCCGAGGTTCGAAATGCAGGCTATAATGGCCTAGCAAAGGGCACCGCCCGCGGTATCGCTAGATACGCCCGTATAGCTATGTATAAGGTCTGCTGGAAGGAAGACTGCGCAGAGTCCGACATCGCAGCTGCTATAGACCAAGCTATCATAGACGGCGTCAACGTCTTGTCGTTATCACAGGGCCCTAACGAAACCGCATTTCACGATCACGATGCGATTGTCGTGGGAAGCTACGCCGCTATGGAAAGGGGCATCTTCGTCTCCTTGTCCGCCGGCAACGACGGGCCCGAACCCGGCACAGTGAAGAATATTCCACCATGGGCGATGACTGTCGCCGCCAGCACGCTGGATCGCGACTTTCCTGCCAACCTCAAGCTTGGGAACAACAAACTTGTAACTGGCGCCAGTTTGTACAGAGATAGTGCCTCAGGGGAAAAGAACCAATCAGCAGCGGATTCCGGTATGCTCCGTCTCGTTCTCGGCGCCGCCGTCAGCAAGGGGAACGCTTCTACCGCATCTTTCTGCCTGAAAGACAGCCTTGACCCGAAGAAAGTGGCCGGAAAGGCTGTCATCTGTCGCTTGGGAAGGGGTTCTCTGAGAGCAAAGGGACAGGTCGTCAAAGAAGCCGGCGGCCGTGGGATTGTCATTGTCAGCCCGGCTCTGCTGGGTGATGAGGCGTACGCATCCTCTTACGTCTTGCCAGGGATACACTTGAGCTACAAGCAAAGCATTGAAGTGGAGGCTTATGCAATAACGCCGAATGCCACAGCTACCTTTCAGTTTCGTGACGACAGAGTCGGTATACCGGCACCGGTCATCGCCGGCTTCAGCGGTAGAGGCCCAAACATGGCGGCGCCTAATCTGCTCAAGCCCGACATCACCGGCCCGGGTGTAGACATTCTAGCCGGCTGGACAAACGACAACTCAAGCACTAATAAGGGTGATTTCGCCATCATCTCTGGAACTTCTATGTCCGCCCCCCATCTGGCTGGCATCGCGGCCTCCATCATGGCACGACGTCCAAAGTGGAGCGCTGCCGAGGTCCGATCCGCCATCATGACTACCGCATATACCACACTCAAAGGCACCTCATCGCCGATGTTAGAAAAGCCGAATAACACCATTTCGAA